CTTCCCCACGGGTAGATCTCGCGGTGTCAAGGCCGACCGGCGTGGATCACGCGCGATCCACGGGTTGAACGCACTCGATCCTTCTTCCCCGTCTGCCGAAGCACCAACTACCTACCGAGTCGACGGCCAGCCGTGCACTGGACCGGGTGTATTTACCTGTGCTCACCTGACCAGCGTAAATCCACCGCACAAGACAGATGAGATGACCTGTTCCTTCCGGGTTCTTCGCGATCGACTCGGCTCTTCTTCCTTCAACCACGTTCTGTGCTTTCGCGTATCGCTTTTTCCTTTGCGTCGAGTCGCTGTGAAATTCCGTTCCTCTATGGAGTTTCGGTTCGACAGGCCAGTGTTACGCCTTATATTATATTATAGTATACGCGTCCATAAAAATAAGAGCGAAATTTCATTTTTCGAATAGCAAGATAATTTTGAACGAATGAGTTGTTTCAAAATAAACGAATACTCTGAATCGCGGATTAACAATCTATAGAAATTTACTTATAATCCGAGGAAAATTTCATTGACGATACCATATGAAATATTTGTCTGTTTTATGCTCATTTTTCGAAACAATCGGCTCTTAGAATTTATACGACAAGTAGAAGAAATTATCACGGTGTCGTAGTTTCGTAACATTCTATAGATTACATGGATACCTGCTACACCAGATCTCGTGACAAATCGAGTTCTTTCGCTCATTGATTGACGACATTCGAGATAACTTTATGTTATTTTTCTCGTCTCGCGAGATTCCTAGCACGCTATAATCCGTTACACCGATGTTTTTCTGCAAAACTAGCTTGACGTGGAAGGATTGATGATAATTAAATTACGTTAGCCTTTAAACTCGGTACGATTCAGTCACGTAGTAATAATATCGTTGTTTAGCTGCCATAAAATATACATCAATTGCCTGTGTGAGAATCATCGTTATCCGAAAAATATATTTCAAAACTTTCGTTAAACTACGTATCACGATATCCTTAAACGTACTTCTTAGATTTCTATCGTACAATAATTGGCGTGTACAAAATGCATGTACAAAAATTAACGACTCCCTAACTGAACGATAATTATTATTTCTATAGCATGAAAGTGTTCCAACCAATTAAAATCGTTTGTATTCCTGTAAAATAACTTGAAGGATTGCTACGTATAACGAAATATTACGAGCACGATATGTATAATATTATTTCGTAAGGACGAAAGCAACATTTGAATCTACAATGTGTACGTTTTCATAATCCTATCGCGTAACGCGTTAAATAGACGCTTTGATTAATCGTCGAGAAGACGATCGTTTTCCCTAAAAATAGTATGCTATTTTCCATCGTTTCCGGTTCGCGGAAGCTTTAACGCGCCGCTTTACGCGCTTTTTAAACCGCCTGTAGTTCAAATATTAACACGATTACTTAAATTCCTTTTCGTACGTGAGAAAATCCACTTCTTTTCCCATAACTAGTCGGTGGATACAATTAGCGAAGCGAATCTTTTCCTCAACACCGATTAATAGCGTAATAGATGCATTTTGCTTAAATATGGCAATCAACGACGCTTTAATCGCCGAGAACCGGAGGATAATGGATTAATCGACCGACTGGATCATACGTAACTATTCTGGGTCGTTACACGCGTCGTAACGAACGCTTTTGGAAAGTGTTTATATCGTTTCTTTTCTCTTTTTCCTTCTTTTTTACGTTCACCGGCGACCTATGAGAAAAGTTATTCCCGATCGATACGTATCGTAGGAATTACACGTGACGAAGTAATTTACTCTGCTGAAAAATGAACAAATTAAAATGTTTCTTGTTAGTCGACGCAACACGGTGGCTGCGTATAAAGCGGATAAGTGAAAGCAAAACGTGTCCTGCCCGTTGCTTATCATTTTTTTAACCGGAAGAGCGGAAAGTGTAGGAAAAAGTATGGAAAAGCATTACTGGCCCGTAGACTATGAAGAAATGGTTCCAGTAAATGTAGATAAAATGATCTTATCGTGCAAATTAATTAATGTCGGTTAGGAGGGAATGGAGTACAATCACCGGTCAGTCAAATATCCGATATATGGCTTTGTCTTATACCGGTTGTTTTTTGCGCTGCTCTCTAGTTTCAATCGAATTAAGTAACCCGTGCCGATTCGTAGTTCTCTGGTGAAACGTTTAACGAAGATACGTGAGTGAAAATTTTGCGCGTTTCCCTGATGATTCTACCTTTTGCAGAAATTTCTATGAAACGGATGCTGCTGAAAAAAGATTTAATATTGTGCTTTACGTTCCTTTACGAACGATTCAAATGATCGTCTTAATTATATCGTTCGTTTCGGTTTAATTAGGCAGAAAGAGATCGCAAGAACTTTAATGTACGTTAATGTATTCTTGAAATAATTGCCACGATTATATTTAACATTTCGCAGGTCGGGTTCTACGGGACCGGATATGCTACAACCTGAAATCTTGCAATCCCCTTTAATCTGCAGCGCAACCGCGCAACTAAATGAAATTCAGAGATAACAAGCAACTAGTCACCCAGTTGCTTTCTAAGACAGCGATCTGAGAAGCAGGAACTTTCAAAAACTGAAAAGGGAAAGGATAAAGACAGTGGAAATGTTCAGGATAACATGGGAAGAAACTTTTGGCACGACAAAGACTTACTCGCGGAAACTTGACATCGACTTGGTCCTTCTTTTTTTCAAAACGATAAATTCGGGCCACCGGCTTCTGCCTCTCCGAATGTATTCCGGAATATTGTGATTTATCGGCGTCGCAAAGGAGACGACGCGCACCGAATGGATTAACGTTTCGGATGTTATAGCTCGTTCTATCCGGCATCGGCCTATACGCGGCATAACAATGCGAGTTTTGCGTGGAAACGAGGTTAAAGAAAGGAGAATGCAAGTCGAATACCGAAGGGAATAAGCAATTTCTCTTAAAAATCTTGTTAGCTACGAAAAAAGAAAATTAAATTGTATCTATTCATAGTTGGTAAAACACTAAACTTGTACAAATTAATGTAAATTACCGTGTAAAGGTAATTCAACTATTTTATCATTTACCTTGAAAGAAGCGTGCAGACAGTCGATATCACTGTCAATATTTAAGCTTCTCAACGTTGTATTGACAATATTATGTTGATCGTCTAGAGGATCTCTTACGTGCCATAATGTCGAGAACTTTTAATATTGACAATAATATTGATCGGCCGAACGCTCCTTAACTCTTCTCCCTCCAATTTTTCTTCCTAGTCATTTGTGAAATTTGAAAAATTACATCGGAAATATAGATAGATTTTGAAGACCAAAGCAAACAGGCGAAAGAACGAAAAATCAATCGGGCCCTCGAAAATTTTTCTTTATTTACATTCTGAATATAAATAAAATATTAGTGAACAAATTAAACTGTAAATTGTTCGTGAACGAGTGTCGGACGAGTCACGTACTGCCATCTATTGAAGATGTAAGGAACAGCAACTTAGAGTATGCGAGGATAGATGGCAGTACATGGCTTATCCGAAATGTATAGAGTGTCGATATTCATAGCATACTACGCATGCACAGAAAGAAAAACTTTCTACCTTCCATGTTGATTTTTCATGACTCAATTTTTTGTACGGTTGCTTCTATGCTTTCGATAGGGAGGGAATTTTCTCTCCGTTTTCGGTGCAGAAGTGTCGAGAAACGAGACCAGTTTGTTTTATTAGGATACCATTATGTATCTAATATCGCGAGTGTTACAATGGTTTCATGAATTAGTTCTTACCAATTATTCATTTACATAGATATCTAAAAGTTATACTTTTTGAAACTGTCAACTGTTTTACTAACATTTTTAGACTCGTTAGCCCAGTTATATTACAGTAATTTGTATTTCACAGTGTTACAAGAGAAGGAAAAATAAACAGAGATTTTTTGTAAAATGAATATTTTATTCCAATGAAAATTCATACACAGTTTTTTATTCCGTTTAAGAATAAATTTCACAAATGTTTACCACAAAATAAGTGAAAGCACGTTTAAACTGATTATGTACGATAAATACAAATAATTGAAAACGAATCTCTTTACGTTAAAACCGGTTTTTCCTCATTTTTCTTTTTTTTTAAAATATATTACAGCGGAAATTTCCCATGATGATAAAAAAATGTTCCTCGGATGACTAACATTTTCTGGGATTGTTAATTTCAATCTTATACTAGTTTCTTTGCTTCGAAGAAACTCTTCAAATGTCTGATTTGCCATGCACCCATGATCAATAAAATAACAGATTGCGCGAGGGACCACCAGAACACTCGACGGTGTGTACTTTCAGATGTTTGTCTGAAACGTTCTTCACGATACTGCAAATAAATAATATAAGGACATAGTTCAAATCCTAAGCAAAGCAATTCGGAGCTAAACGTAAGACAAATACCCTTTGGTAATTTTGTTCCTTTGTTATTTGTTCCACTTGATCGAGAAGCTGACGTATCCTCAACTGCAACTCGGTGAACTTTTCCTTCTGAGCTGTATTGGCATAATCGATAGTATGTTCTCCAACTTGAATGTCCAAGTGTACTCTCTATATAATAAAATGAATTTAGTTACGTCAAACGCTATAAACAATTATTATTTTGTTTACAATTAGATATGTTACCAGTTGAGCACCACTGAACCAAGAACTGCTATTAGAGTACAAACAAATCACATGTTCACCAGGCGTATGAGAAGTAAATGAAATTCTTCCCTCTGAACTATACACTCTGGAGAGAATCATTTTATCATCTGGATCCCTAACTTCCACGTGCATTCCCATCCCGACACTGCTCGGAGCAAATCCACCAGTTCTCGGATCATACAACTCAACTTTGTAATGTACTATAGGAAAAAAAATGAAAAGTTTCAATGAGAGTCACAGAGAAATCGAATTATTAACTGTAAAAATAATTCACTTTATTAACATACATTTCACGTACCTAAAACGGTCGTTTCATCAGGAATTTCCTCGATGAAACACTTTCTTTCAGTCTCGGCGATGTGAAAATAAAGTCCAGTACCATATTCGAAAACGCATAAGAATATAAAGAATATACCACTGTGTCTTAACATGATTTTTGATATGCAGTGCTTTTAGTAGCACGGCGGAGCTTAAATTACGAATAAAATTCAATGTGATACAGAATGGAGCACACGTCACCTTCGAAAACAACAGTGAAGTTCACGTACGTGGCGCTAGTGAGCATTATCGATATCTACTTTCTCGATAATCGGAAACTAAACTCACCTAGGAAAATAACAGAAACAAAAAATGGACGTTACGTTGTTAGCTTCTTTCGCTGTTTTAATTATTGCATTGATTATCGGCATTACGGTATTTTCCAGTAAAAAATCAGGTATGTTTCTATGCAAAATATTTTTTGTGTTATTATTAGAGTATCTTCTGTAAGATAACCAAATACATCCCTAACCTATTTGTTTGTTTGTTTTGAAACAGATGTTTTGACAATTTTCATGAACATTGAATTAATCTTTCCTTGCGTTTGATAGAAACTGGTACTTAAATCAGTCACTTAGATCCCTTGAATGTTTGATATTTCGAAAAACCGTCGAATGTTTGTTTTACGAATGTTATAGCAAAGAAAAAACAAGCAAATGTAGCCGAAAGAGTTGCACAAGGTAGACCAATAAGGCGAGCAGCGGGTCAAAGAATTGCTAGACGTCGTATGCAAGCGACTGCCAGTCAGCAAATTGAGGAAGACGACGATGGATCTGGAAATGAAGCTAACGACGAAGCAGATGAGAAGCCAGCCACGCCTGATTTCAAAATGGGTGCAAAGAAAAGGGCCAAGTTGGCAGCTAAATCAGAGAAAAGGGCACAAAGAGAAGTTATTGAAAGAGAAAGAGAAGAACGTAAGAAAAGAGAACAACTTCTTCAAGAAGAAAGAGATAAACAATCTGAAAAAGAGAGGGCAGAAGAATTAAGACAAGAGGAGGCAGAAAGGAAAGCCAGGGAGGAGAAAGAAAAGAGAGAATACGAAGAATATTTAAAAATGAAACAAGCATTTAGCGTAGAAGAAGAGGGCTATGATCAGGATGACAAAGAAGACGAAGAAAATTTATTAGAAGAATTTGTTCTATACATTAAGCAAAACAAAGTAGTAATTCTAGAAGATTTGGCAGCATACTTTGGTTTAAAAACATCAAGCGTAGTAGAAAGAATTCAGGATCTGCAGGCGCATGAAAATTTGACTGGAGTTATCGACGATAGAGGGAAATTTATTTACATATCTCAGGAGGAGCTGGAATCTGTGGCAAAATTTGTCAGACAACGCGGTAGAGTCAGCATTACCGAACTAGCAGAAAATTCAAATCGTTTGATTAATTTGAATCCAGGAAAACAACCTAGCGTAGTGGAAGCTAGATAGATTATGTAAAATAAGAATAATTTTAATTTTAACAAAATTTATACATTGTTCACATTCAGAAAATAGGATTATTATATATAGAGTAAAAAATATCCTACTTATGTCGTATAAATTGTATATTTGCTGTAAATAACACATCTATATATAAAATGGAATTTTTATTACCGTTAAGATATACTTGATAAATTAATTTAACATTATTAAATCAGAACGTGATCAGAAAATAGGTTTGATACTTCGTCGATTTCAGAGACGCGTTAACGATTCCTTCCCTAAGATCTGTTAGAAAGATATTTATTAATCACAGCTCGTATTTACATATTATTAAAAATCTACTCAAAGCGAAAACACCCGAAATTTCCAAGCTTTTTCTCATTGATATTTGCTTTCGAAAAGTTTCGGTGGTTTCGAATCAACAATATGATGACACAAAGGATCGATGTTGCATCAGATTCTAGTTTTTATGTAGATGCAAATTGTTTGCGTTATTTTTTATTTTTCCCTGAATGTATAATTTATGTCGTCGAAATGCGTGTTGACGATGATTCTATTTCTAAATTGCACAGCGGTAGTTAATCATTAACTGGAAGAATTAGAAGAATTTTCCGTAATTAAATTTATTCTTCGAGAACACCTTCATCGAAAACGACTAGCGGCACTTCAGTAACGTATCCCGTTCTTCAGCCTAAAGTTAGTTCAGCAGCTACGAGGCCTCGTCCATCAAATCTTTTTAGCTCCAAGAGCAACGTGCGATTTGTTTTAAGACGAATGATAATAGTTCCATATTTATAATAATACGAATAATAATACTTATACGATCAAAAAGAATTATCACCTTAAAACTGTATGCTTCAAACGTACTTTCTTGAATTTGTCCTACATTATGCGATAAAATATTATTTTCATAAAATTTAGGTATTTTTTCCTACAAAATAATGACGTCATCTAAAAGTTAAAGATATCATACGTCTGATTCACGGTCGCGTATAACTCAGGAAATTTTTCACAGTTTTTCCTGTATGAATAGTAATTTGATCTCCATTAATTCATGCACATTATCAACAAGCTTACTGGTAATGTAAAATACCGATCTATTAAAAATTCTGTCATTGATGGTTCGAAGGAATCAAGATCAATCCCCACTCGATATCAAAGCTGAATATGCGAAGAAGGGGACACTCGCAGGCTATGTAAGAGGCGACAGAATCGCCAGAGAACCTGCAGTCTTTCTAGCGACCTCGAGTTTACGTCCATTTAAAAATTCCTTGCTCATTCAGCTCATTAGAGAAAGAACAAAAAGAGCGAATAATTATCGGTCCGAGCGGATGCGAGGAAAATTGGAATCAACGGGAATCACAATAGTATTTCGTGGCAATCGAGAAGACCTATGTGTCGATGAGGTGCAAAGTCTTGGACTGTCAAGGCAACTCCCCAACGTTCTTACCCAGTGTTAGGTAAGTGCAGAAATACGAAAACAGGTTTTTTACTTGCACTTCGATCCTAGTGTGCCATTTTGATACCAAAAACCGCGTCAAATAAATTTATTGTATACAGTAAAACCTTGTTACTGTATGTTAGCTTCTAATATTAAAACTACCAGTGTATAAAACTTGTATTAAGAGAAAAGTGTAGGAAAAGATACATAATACGAGGGAAATCCCCTTATTTATATACTTTATCAAAGACTTAATAGAAAAATGTTGAAAATTACAGTACAATTGATCGTTCTATCAATCGATGTTTCGATAATCGTAGTTCTACGGTAATTTAACAATGTATGATACAAAACTACTAATATAAGATGGACGGGAAAAATTTCGAAAATATTTGCATTTCCTTCACACGACCATAAATAACTTTCTAGACCTGTATTTTAAAATATTAAATAATAGTTTGAAGGTTAAACAAACAATAGTGTAAAAGGAAGATTATAAAGGGTTTTGTAGCTATGCATTGTTACTATATTTTTATATATTATATATATTTATGCAGGCTCGCTAAAAATCTTCGAACTCGCAAGGGGAGTCGACGTGCTAATGTTGGAAATCGTTTAGAACTGCTAGTTCTGGTTCATTTGCATCACGTGCCATAAAGTAAGTATCCTCTATAACTAAAAAGCTGAAAAAAGATAAGAAAACTTAAATCAGACCCAATTATTACGAATTAATCATTGTTTTCGTAAGTAGAAAAAGAGGAAAATACTCTACTATTGGCGGTGAGAACGTTATCTGATAGATCTGGAAAATCGATCGACATATTGGTTTTGATTGGGTTAAACCGATAGAAAGAGGCGGAAGAAAAGAGTATAATTATATTCGAGGAGAGGCAAAAGGATTAAAATGGTGTACGCTAATATCAATGATACTACCATCAAAGGACCTTTCGAGGGTGTTAAGTATGTTTGCAATTTACATTTTTTAGTCTTTTAATATTATATTATTATATTATTATATTTTATGAATACTATTCATATCTAAACAGCTAATAACTTTTCATTTTTTCTTTTAACTTTGCACATGTAGGAAAGATAAAAATGCATCGTCAGAGCATCAGCAACAATCCCAACAACAGTCGGCGAACAAGAACGACAAGTACGGTTCCTGGGGACCGGTATACAAAAACAAACAGAATTTCATTGACATGCACATTTGCTAAATATAATTCTTCAAAATGATCTCGGAAACGTACTTTCAAGAAGTTACACTGAAAATCACAACTTTTCTATAATTAATCGCATCATTTTTTTAGCAGCAATGAAACAAATAAAGGAATAATTCTACTCAAACATTTTGTTCTTCGTTACACTGACGTAATAGCAAAAGAAAAAATAATAATTAAAAGACTCAAAATGTATTCTTTTGTCGTTTCGGAACGATTTCCCTTTGAAGAGAAAAGAGTAGTAATCCAAGGCTCAACGACAGATGAAACTGAAAAAAGTACACCGCTAGTTCCGGCGGATATGCAAAACACGAGGAGACAAAGACAAAGAACTCGAAAAATACGGCTGGCGGTATTCGTCGGCCAAGCTGAAGGTCTGAACATATATTACATCAAACATATATTGCCTCATCTTTTTTAGACGCTAATAGCTCATCAAATTCCGAATTGATCCGTATTTTCACAAAACATACCTCTGTACCTTTCTCTGTCCGTACCGTTTAAGTGAATTCTTCCGTTATGGACAGACTTGTCGCTCATTGCCAGTACGATCTTCCTCTACTTCATCTCAATTCCCTGCAATTTCACAAAGAAAAAGAATTCCATACCGTGAAATTAAGAATGAGGAGACTTTGAAAAGTTTATCTCGGTTACTATATTATTCATCTAAATTAAATACAAATTAAATTGGACTGGAAATTAGGTAAATGTTCAAAAATTTGAAATATACGGGGAAATCAATTAGAGATTGGATGAATGACGTTCGAAAAGGTCACGAAGAGTGCTATCGAAATACCCTCCGTCAGCTTCCACCCTGGAGCAAGGAAATAGTAGGGGAAAGACGCGAAGCGACTGGTGGGGAAAGCGAAGAAGAAAAAAGCTTCTGGACAAATGAGAGCTTTGCCGTGACTCGGGGAGAACGAGGGCAACGTGGTGCAGTCGTCGAAAACGCGTCGGCTCGTTCGGTGTTCCTCTGAATGGAGGATCGGGGGCGGAACAGGGTTCACGTCGACGCTCGAATTGACGTTCTACCTACCTTGTAATTTATTTATAATATTTATTTGAATCCTTAAACACATATCGTTCATATAGAACCTCTTAACTAATCGAAAAGAAAATTGAATAAGTATATTTATATTTGAATTAACACGCGAGAAAGAGATTCTTCGCAAGGATCGTTTCGCGAGGATCGAGTGAAAGCTTGAGGAGAAGACGAAGAAGAAGAGCAGAAAGAAGGAAAAGTGTCGTTGCTCCGTGGAACGCGAGATAGCTGAGAGTCGACGTCCCGACGCTGCTATTTCGAGGCTGAAACACATCGGTAAGCTTTTGTTCGATAGTCTCACCGCCGACTAGTTTCTTTTCCCGAATTTACAGTGCATAACTGGCGGGTTTCCGGCCGTTTGATCGACAGTTCGCACGAAAAAAGGGAGATGCGTTTGAGAGTCCCTTTCGCGAGATTCCAAGCTCGACCGCGTTCTCAGCATCTTTACGAAGGAGACGTTTATCTCTGTTCTCTAAAATTGCACCTTCTATAGAAAAAGCTAGTCATCTTACACATTCAATCTTTTTATATCAGAATGAAATGATGCCACGAAATCTATTGCTCTTCCTGTTATGCGTTGACTCGTTGTTAAACATCAAAGACACATGTACGATCGTTCGTTAGTTTGTTTTCATCGAAGGCATGACTCGACCGATCGTTATTCCCAAAATGAATCATTCTCAAGGAAGTCTCGATCAGCTTCCACTTTCGATCAGCTGACCGCTCGACCGATGTTGATTTATTATAGCTATCGCGTATTTTTATTATAGCTCCATGGAAAATCCCGGGAAATTCACGGTTACGAGTTTTTGTTTATTAAGAGTTTCCCCACTGTGTTTACTAGAAAAGTAGATAAATTCTTGCAGACGTTCTATCGACGACACGCGAACGTGAAGATATCGTAGAGCTATCGTAAAACGATCACAGTGCCACCGGGGCATCGAATGCAGACCGGAAATAGAGCTTCCTCTACGAGGCGCGATGATCCCTCGTTCGAACGTGGAACAACGTCCCTTTTGCGTGCCGAAGGGCAACCGTCACGTCTAAATCTCGGCATCTCCCTTCTTCCCTCACGCTGTCGATGGTAATGCTCGTTGCATCCGTAGGTACAACGGCATCGGGGCGCTATTTTTGTCGGCGCCCAACAGTTACTAGTAGGCACCCTCTTGCGAGCAGCCGGAGGCTGGCGACTCGCGTCTCGATACCCTCGATTCTTCTTGCGGGCGCGTGCCTGGGCTCGCTCCAGTCATTAGACCTGCCTGTTCTCAAGAAAAAATGACGAACGGCTCGATAAGAATACCTGTGAACGTGACGAAAAGTCAACGGGTAAGAATTACGACACGAAATGTGGGACGACTACTCGGAATGCTTTTCTTCTGGGTCAAAAACCTAATGGTATTGCAGGCGTAATTTCTTTTATTATCGTGCAATAATACGTAGGCTTATTGAGTTCTTTGACGATAGAAGCGGTAGATATGCTATGAAACGTTCGCTTCTTGACATCTATAACACATTCGTCTATATTTCGTTCTTTTGCGACGTCCATATATGACGTATCTATATATATATATAAAATAGTATTCTGAACGTCGCAAAAGGACGAAATATAGAAGAATGTGTTATGGATGTCAAGAAGCGAACGTTATATATATCGGAGCCTTCTTTTTATTCAGAAATAGAATATAAAATATAGTTAATTTGGATCTTGGATTGGTTAATTGAACAATAGTGATATTGTCGCCAACGAGTCACAAGGTTATTAAAATTACATAAGTTATTTTATTCTTTTGACAATACAAACGAAGGATGCGTTATAGAAATTTCGTGTGTTTGTTCCATAACATACCCACATACGTTTCATTTCTATACAACCTTCGAACTCGTATTAATCACGCCAACAAGTATCAAACGGCTGCCCGATGTTGTCCGACGCAAGTAGGTTTGACAATTCATACACAGACGCGCACGTGTCCGTCGTCTCGCAGGCGCGCGTGCCCCACATTAACGTGTACCATAGGGAAGTCTTGAAAATAAGGGGAAGCAGCCATTTTAGGGAATGCATTAAGTAAAAAAGAGTAGATGAGACGATTGGGAGGAACTGCTGAAAATAGGGGATACCTGAACATTCGGTCTATATTTATTCTCTGTTCGAAATTCGGGCGGTTGGTCGATCAAAATGCATCGATCAATTACGACTCGTAAACACCCTAATTCGGTGTTTCTTGTTGCAACTTTAATTATTTAACATTAATTTTAGGTAAATTAATACATACGTATCAGGTGAAGAAGCCACGTTAAAAATCGGTATTTGAGAATATAATTCCGATTTTTGTATTAATTAAAAATATTACAAATCTTTACTACAGCACTACGATCTTAGTAGTGACCGCCCATAAACTCTGAACTTGAGTTCTAATTGAACCATTCCAGCCAGTTTATCGCGGATTCTTCGTGGGGTCGTCCCCATAAGAAATTCGATCTTGGAGTTAGGAGAGCCTAAATATAACCAGGAAGTAATGTCGGTAGGCAATTTACGTATGTTCTCGTCACCTTCTAGGCTCAGCACGCGCATAAACCACGTGGTAGCAAGGCTAAGCCCCTGACAGAAAGTTCCGACCGCGTTATTGCATTAGCCTGCAGGCACGTGCGTGCGTGGGTGCAAAGGGCAGAGAATTAGTAAGTGGCGTCTGAGGCGTCAAGGGTGTCGTTGAAGTCCGTGCACAGGCTGCGCAAGTTCGTTCAACTCGAGAGAGTCGAGAGCTGCAGAGAGATGCTCTGCTGTTGAAAAGCTTTGAGATCTATTGGACTTTATATATCAGACCATGGACTTTACGAATCCAGTATTTTTCAGATTCCAAATGATATATGAGCATTTCGACTAAAAGGAAATATTACATTGGAAATCATCGTTAATGTACGACAATAAACAATACAATTTCCAAGAGGAATAAAACGAACACATTTCGTGAGAACTCATTGACAGGATCTAGAGTGAAACGAATGCAAACGGACGCATCCTGTCGTTAGCATGGTTGCACATCAATTACAACATTCGCGTGCGATCGCACGAATTAGTTCGTTTCCACACCGACTGAATCATTCCGCTGTCTCGTGTTTACACTGTGTATCAGATAATTGTCGCGTCTCTTTCAAGAATGGACGACGTTAGCCAGTCATTGTCTTGTCAATTTAATTTTAGCAGCAAATCTCACGCTAAAATTGTTTTCCTCTGAAAAGTATATGTCTGCGATTTATAGTAATTTCATCGAACGCTTGCAGCGCGATTTCATTTTACCCGAGGGCCCGTCGTCTAGTTAATGCAACTGTGGCAAAGAAAGAAGCTTGAAAGGAGATAGAGCAAAGAAGAAAGATAAAATCGATGATTTCCTTTGGCCTCGGCATGAAACGGAAGGAGAAGAAAGAGCGTAGTTTCGGGTGGGGAGAGTATCTCCTAAGAATAGAAAAATTCTTTTTCCTCGCCTTGTCCTTCCCTCATGCAATTATCGAGGGAGTTTCTGTGTCTTTAAGTATACACCTGAGGAAAACAATTCGCGGAAACTGATCCATAATTCTGACTGCGTCGAAACTTCCATGTTACTTTTGAACCAGACGCTTCAGTGACGTCGAGGTCACAGACGGTCCTAAATGCAACGGTTTAAAAATATCAATTCCTGGAACGGTTCGCAGAAATCGAGCAGCGAGATATTTAGTCCTCTCTTCCTTTTCTTTGTTCCATGTATACCGCGGCAGCCAGACCCCCCGCGAACCTAAAGGCGTGGTTACAACCACCGATTTGTGTTCGTGTATACACGTGCATCCGCTGTTCCGCCATACAAAGAAGGAAAGAGAAATTATGCGCTTAAATTAACCATCAAAAGGAAATACGGTAGAACTTTGTCCGAGTTACGTCCATTGGAGCGATATTTTAGTTGACTTTCGCTTAATTCAATTTTTAGCTATCGAATTTATTTGTTTAACGCGAATTCCTATTATTTAACGGGATAACGAGAAGAATCAACGACTCATTATGTTACAATATGAGCAAAGAATCAAAATTATAAATCGTAGGACGAATTAGAATTACCAGTGGAGTACTTCCGGTTTTTAAATTGCATAGCAAAGGGATATGATGTATCTTTTGTAATTTATGTAGATAATATGCAGAACCTTGACGAGTTATGATATTTGCATTTCACAGCGGCGCAAAGTTGTTTGAACTTGTTTGCAATGAAGTCATGTACCGACAGCTGGTACATTCTTAGACATAACGACGGCGTTCGTTGGTACGTGGTGATCGCATCTCGGAAGAATGACGTCTACTGGTGCGTCGAGACGACGGCGGTCGTCTTACCCGAAATAGATCCCGTATACGAAGACGACTCGTGAACACAACCACGAGGAAACCGGTTGCTAGGGGAAAAACGAATCGCTCGTTTCGATAGGTTTATTAATGAAGAAAATTCCAAGCCGGTCGAACTCGACTCATTTTACGGTGTAACGTGAAGCATACAAGCGAAAGGATCCAGAAACGCATCTAGAAAGAAATATTAATCTTCCAATTCCTATAGCTCAGAGATTCAGTTGCGTACTAGTGCAGTATTGGAGATTTTTCTAAATTCCGTCTTTACCGATCGACAAAACCACTGAAAGATTTCATACCATATTTCGTTTTTAATAACCGTTGACAATGTTTATTAGAAAAATTGTAATTAATTGATAACTTTTCAAGGACGATTCAGTTGGCCAACGCATCCCTGATAATGATAACGAAATGTTTTCCCGAAAACTATTTTAAATACACAAAATGTGAAACAGAAGTCGGGTTATTTGACTTCTATCGAGGAGGGGTTGCCATTTTTGGTACAAGGACGCACATGTCGGTCGAAGGAGTGCACGAGTAACATATGGGACAACGCACGATGTTTGCACGGCCATCGAAGGGGCTAACAGATAAATAAACCAGACCATTATTACCTGAAGAAACTTCCTAGTAACCTCTGAATTATTCTTCCGGTTTCTTTAAATTCACCCCTAAACATGCGTAAAAAATATCGAATTGGTTACGGTCGACGAGTGAAAAACATAATTTTAATTCCAAGAATGTCATCGGACGTGCAAATGGCGAACGGTTACATGCTCCAAGAGGTTTCTCGCGGATAAAATATCGCTACGCGCGTTCGAATTTTTTCTTTTTTGATAACGCAATGCACGCACTCGTAATGCGTCGAGTAACGGTATTAACGAGTTCTTGCCATGTTATTTATAATTTCCATAAAACGGATAGTAGGTTTATGGTTGACGGGAGTTATGTTCGATTTCAATTTCACCGTGCTTTGCTTACTCGCTATCGATAGAGCTATGCAATGGAAATTGTTGCCTTCTAACAGAAATGTTTCTTGTGAAATTTGTCAATTTTGTAGCTAATAGTATGCTCTGGTTGTCAGAAACCAGCTACGTGGTGAAATCAGTGTTACGAAAAATAATCTACGGTCTGACCTGAGATCGTTCGTCGTTTTTATACGTGATTATGATTATTTAATAAAATAGTAAGTACTATCTAATAAGAACAATATCACGTTTTCAACAATATTCGATAACAATTCGAAATATAACTTTAATAGTAAACGCTAAATGTAAGGTATTTAGCGATCCAATATGGCGACCAGAATCACTCTAACAAGAGCAACTTTTGCTGACTGCAATTTGTCAGTTTTTGTTAATTTAATTGGCTGAATGGAATAAGTTTGAAGAGTAGGAATTTATTTTCGTCAAAAATATAAAGAAATTCGAACAAACACTATATTTGGGATTCTGAGTCACTGCGTAGTTGCGCAGCCGCCTGGCAAGCTTTGAATTCTACCGCGTAAGTCAGTGTATCGTTATTTCTTCTTTTACTTCGTCAAATTCTTTGAACTTTTGCATCTTTTTTCTTTATCTATCTCGTGCATCTTTTACACACCTAGAAAGTAAGCTTTAAATAACTAAAACAAACCTCTGACACGCCCATGTAGCACACTAAGCATTCAGCTTTATTTCCTTAAAATTTGTTTGATTTTTGTTTCAGCTCGTTCGCGAATGTATCATAAAGAAGAAGCATCGTTTATTTAAAATTGGACACGATGAGAGCGCGAGACTCGATCGTGTACACTCCAGTGTCTCTCGGACCGGATACGGATGACGAGGAAACGCTGGTTAACGCGGAAGTCTACAACAATGGTGAGTTTTTATCAAAATGTTTCATACGTGTCTGCTTTTTTTAGTTAAGATAATCTTATCTTACATTCTTTTTAGTTTTCAATATACGTGAATATACTCGAAGTTCTTCGTATCTTTTAAGCAGAGTTATATTTAGATTGCGGATGTTTATGCATTTCTGAAGTTACAAAAATGTACATGGCAAAGTATACATAGTATTATAAATATAATATTTTATGGGTGAATGAAATCTACGGTTAAATCTAATTCCTTTCCTTTAATTTATGAAAACATGAGTTTGTATAAACATCCAGCATAATTACCTATATCATAGACTGTATAAAGTCTGTTACGAAATAATCACTGAATATTTTAAGTTGCACAAAGAAAAATATGATAGCAGAAAAATAATAAAACTAAAAATGGCAGATACGAGTTTTTAATTAAGCAGGAGCTTATATTTCGTAAAACGTTTATGAAATACACCGGTAGAATAATCGATATTTTTACCAACGATCGGTAAGCGAAATCCTCGAATATCTCGGTAGAGTTCTTTATGATATAACGAGGGGAGGTTAGTGGCCTCCTCGAACATGCTCATGCAGCGAATCTCATTAACACAGACAAAAGAATCCTCTTATCTAGACTGCGATGTTTAACGTTGCCTGATGGTGTTTAGTAGCGTTTTACGACAAATTTTTATGCGTTCCGGTTCATCTCGCATCATGAATCAATCGGTAACATTGAATGTCGTGTATCTCCGTAAACAATTCGAGTTTGTCATACTCGATGATTACTTGTATCAAATGAAAAATGGAATAAAAATTGAACATTCGTCTCATCAACACCGATAAAACGATTCTCTTATTCAATTTCCGATGTTTCGTATGTCTGATGATGTTTAAAAGCGTTTTACGACGAACTTTTACGCGTTTCGGTTCATCTCGCGTCATGAATCAATCGGTAACATTGAATCGCGCGTATCTACGATTCGAGTTTACCATAGACAACGTTACTTACGTCAAATGGAAAGTCGAATAAAAACTAAAAATTCATTACGTTGTGAATTAATCTCCATAATGTTCTTTTATTTAATTCTAAGTTAAACGAGAACCATTCCACCGAACGTGTTTTCTACTGATTGTGAATTTTTCCTTATCGTGTGCTTCCATGTAATCTTCATATGCGAAAATCAAAACGACAATGATAAAGAAAAAACGATTGAACCGATTAGAAAAAGGAGATTCGATACGTTTCAAGGTGTCGTTTCGTGTCACTCGGAACCACCACCATATAAAATGTAAGGCACATTCCACGGCGTACCGGAATGCCGCTAACTAGATGGGACATTTTTCCTTATTAAAATTCCACGCTAACCGAACACGGATATTCCTGACCAAGTCAAGCCGGATGCGATTGGAAAACGAAGCGAGAGCGAAGACTCAACCGCTCTGAGTCAGAGCACACCTACACGACTTCCGAATTCGAACTTCGCGGTTATAATGCACGTAGGATAGACGGGGGCGTACCGCATGTACGCAATATACCAGAGAACCAGACGCGTCAGCCTCCGTTTTTGGCAATTATAACACGTTCACCTGAAACAATATCGTTTAATCGTCGATTCTTATCTTCTTCGAAACTCAAGAAATTAACACGAGCGCCAAACTCGAGTATCGAATAATCTGCCTCTTTCTCTGAAAACAAATTTCTTTGAATAGATAGAAATTATTGGAGAAGGGATGACTCGATATTATATACCTAATATTACATACCTATATATATATAGTCATATATATACAGGGTGGTTGGTACTGGTGGTACAAGCGAAAGGGGGTGATTCTACGCGAAAAAAGAAGTCGAAAATATAGAATAAAAATTTTTCGTTTGAGGCTTTGTTTTCGAGAAAATCGACTGTGAATTTTCGCTCGGTACGCGTGCACTTTATCGCGTCTTGTTATAACGGAAAATGGAAAAATTTAAAAAAAAAAAGAAAAAATTAAAAAAAAGAAAAATTTTTATTCTGTATTTTCGACTTCTTTTTTCGCGTAGAATCACCCCCTTTCGCTTGTACCACCAGTACCAACCACCCTGTATATATATGACTATATAATAATAGCAAATCTATATGTTCTAGCAATGTGTGTGTTAATTAACGTTATCGAGAATTTATATCTCTCCGATATTATTTCAAGGATCTAAGATACCCGTTTCTATTTCTTAGACGACGTCGCGATTTTATCGCAATCGATGACACAGTGCTGTATTTACAGTAAATTAGTATCAATAGGCGTCGAAAGAGTATCTCTGGAATTATATACGTTTATTGTTGCCGCAGGAATATGTATCGTTTTGCGCTGATAATCGGTATTTGTCCGACGAGTTTGATAAGAGGCGTTAACGGAGTTATAGGTATAGACACCAGAAGCTGGCGCACACCCTAAGGAAAGATCGTCCGCGACTATTCAATACTCGTCGATAACCATTATCTGAAACTGGCGCCGTCTAGCGATCTTATTAATTTCACAATTTTATTATTGCCTTTTAGTAGAAAAGTAAGAAATGAAACGTTATAGCAAGAGGTAAAGAATCAAAGATACAGTAGCATTTTTCTATCATAGTTGCGTATCAACCTTTTGATCGAATTACGCTAATTGCAAGTATTCAAATGCTTATGAACGGTAGTGTACATAGGCGAGAAGGAAGCATAAATTGGCTCTGTTAGATGAGTGCAAAAGGCCGAGTTTTACGATCGATTTCCTGCACGATGGAGAAAGTAACCGCACCAAGGCGCGAGGAAACGTCGGTTTAGTTTAATTACGATCCCACTGGCAGTTACAGCCGTGCTTTCTCTGTAGCGTCTTCCTCCCTCTTCGCGAGTACGAGTATATCTCGGCTCGTGCGTCACAATGTTCTTTTCACTGGTTATTGAGTAAAAGATTTCTTCTTCGTCTCTGGGTAATCCGAATCTGCACGGCATCCGGATGCAGATAAGAAGTTTAATAAACTTACTTCCTGACTCCTAAATGATCGTAATTTACCCATGCGATGGAGAGAATCCATCTGTTATCGTCAGGACAAAACATTTTTCGTGTTTTAATTTGAATAGTTGCGTGCAATTATTTGTACCGTCGATTGTTAAACTGATTGATCGTTAATGCGATGTTTCATTATTCTGAACAGTAGAACAAGAACTGTTTAATATCTCATATATCGCCATGTCGTAAACTATCGCCTTAACAAATAACATGCAAAATTCGTCTCCCACTTAAGGGTTTAACCCACGATTTTCTCGCTCGACGCTTCCAGTTTTCTCTCCTCGTGCTATCATCCTACTAGCTTCAGCCTCCATTGAATTAACTCGGAGATCGAGAACAGAAATGCATCATCGTCCTCTCGAACAATACGTATTCATACATACTTACATACATACTGTCTCCACGGTCGCACGACGTAATTCCCCAACGGACGCTTTCCACATCGTGGATCGTAACCGGTGGTTGCGTAAGCGATATAAATCGTATCGTGGCAGAAACGCGTGAAACAGGGCCGTGTTACTCAATGAACGAGATCTCAAAGAGCCGAAAACGAGACAAGCGGCTCGTGTATACGCCAAAGGCTCGTACGGACAGGTCCAGTTCAGTCAAGTGACGAGTATCCGTACTAAGAAACCCTAGCAGAATAGAAAAATCTGATGAAACGGAGCTAAACTACTCGACTGGATTTCAGTATCCACGCGGTAACATACTGAGTTACTTGCCACTCGACTAAATTACTAGCCGTGTCTGAGCGAAGCTTTAAGGGCGCGCGACAGTGGCGAACAATTTCGCGAGCAACGTTCGCGATTTGCGACAAGAATATCTTACCAATCGCGTATTATCTCGACCGATTTCATGCTGGACACGTAGCGGACGCATGCCACGTACGTATTGTGGCGGCATAAAACTCCGTGGGGCCGTGGCTTTCAGCGCCCTCGTCAGGTCCACGATCTCGAGCACGTAGAATCCCCTCGGCGAAAAAACGCCTAGGAGCGGCTTAGTGCGTGTAGAGCGATCGACTTCGAACGTGTACGAGTTGGAGAGATGGTAATCGCGTAGAATGATGGTCGTTCGTGACGTTGGTCGTCGTGGTGCACCGACGACCGCCGATCGTAACGAGCCGATCCCAGGGGTTTTTCTTTTTTCGTGGGAATCTACAGCGATACGCCTAGCATTTCGAGCTTACTGCATTTCTGTGGTAAACTGAAAACTTGTCGCGGAATAGGCAGGTTAAAGTTTTGATTTCGTGGTAAGCGCGCAAAAATTTAAATCTAATCGTCGAATATAGGTATGTTTAAATATACGCTGTAAATTTGTGGTAAAGATGGATTTTCATCTTATTTCGAGCTACGAAATTGAGCTTTGATTTCAATTGTACCAGGAATTTAGGACCACGGAATAGAATCAATATCGGAATTGTAGCCGGATTTGATATCGACCAGAACCTTTTTAACTGTTTCACTGGCTCTTCGTAACTGTTTCACTCAGAAGCATTATATAGCCGTTATTAACAATTAGTTCTGGAACCTTCCCGACCCCCTGAGTTTGATGGTGGTTTTCGGTAGAAAAGTAATTTTGGAAGTTGATATAGTTGATATATGAAGTGGCTCGTGGGGTTAATCGGAAAGATTTCTCTTCTTCGTTAATTAGGTCGCCGCGAGCGCGACGAAAATCGTGAAAGTAACTTCATACTGTTTCAAGGCGAACGATATTTCGTCTCTTTCAAGCCAGAAGATCGCGCCTGGGTAAAATGGACTGTACGTATTGTACGTACGTAATGTATCGTAAACAGTTTCGAGCACTTCTTCCTTTAGATCATAAAAGTCTGTAAACCTTTAAACGTTAATTCTCAAATTCAAATATTTAATAGGGATGAAATGTCGCAATATCGAAGAAAGTTGTACCATCTAACAAGAATAACGTTGCAACATAAAATAAGGTCGTAATCTTTCGTCGAATAGTAAGCAATGGAATAGTAAGAAT